ATGCTGTGCTGTGGGCTGCTCGCCCTCATCCTCAGCTGGGCCTCCATGGCCCTGGACACGGCGGCGGCGGTGGTGAGTGGGGGTGGTACTGGCCGTGCCCCCCGTCACCTCCTTCCCAGCCCCAACCTTGTCCCTCTTGTCCCCACAGGGCACCAGTGACTTCTGCGTGGCCCCGGACAAGTTCATCATGAACCAGACAGACAGTGAGATCAGTGCAGGTAGGGGCTGGCCCCAGGGTATGGTGTGGGGACAAGCTGGGGGCAGGGACTCCCCAAAACCTGCTGCAGGGTTTGGGGGGATCCAGAGCTCTCCACTGCTGTGTTGCCTCCCCCCTCCCATGCTGCTCTCTGCCCCTCGTCTGCTCACACCAGTGTCTCCCATTTGCTTTGCAGAGGTGGTTCATTATTACCTGTACTGTGACCAGAGCCTGAGCAACCCCTTCCAGCAGGTACAGAGGGGCAGCACACCCCGCCTTGTGTGGGGTGGGGGTGGCTCCGGGCAGCTCCATGACTGCTCCCTGCTCCCTCCCTGCAGGTTCTCACCGTCTTCCAGCGCTCACTCACCACCATGCAGATCCAGATCCAGGGCCTGATACAGTTTGCACTGCCCCAGTTTCCAACAGCCGAGGTACAGGGTGAGGGAGGCCAGGGCTCTGTGCCCCTCCTCTGCTCCCCATCCTGCCCAGGTCTTCTCTCACCCCCCCCCATCTCCTGCAGAAAGACCTGCTGGGAGTCCAGCAGCTCCTCAACTCCTCAGAGACCAGCCTGCACCAGCTCACGGCCATGCTGGACTGCCGGGGGCTGCACAAGGTGAGGGGGGTGCTGAGATGGGGCTGTGCAGCTCCTGGGGTCTCCCTCCCCCTCCTGCTGCCAGCCCTGCCCCATCCCATCTCCTGCTGCAGGACTACCTGGATGCCCTCATTGGCATCTGCTACGACGGGGTGGAGGGTTTGCTCTACCTGGTCCTCTTCTCCCTGCTGGTGGCCGCCTCCTTCTCTGCCATCATCTGTGCCACACCACGTGCCTGGAAGCACTTGGCAGGCAGGTGGGTCTGTCTGCCGAGAGCTCCTGCTCACACAGCCCCCCTGCCTTCACCTGGGGGGGCATGGGGCTGTGGCATTGCCTTGGGGGCCATGGGGGGCGCTGAGGACTGGTGTCTTCATAGAATCATGGAGTAGTTTGGCTTGGAAGGATCCTTGAAGATCATCTAGTTCCAACCCCCTGCATGGGCAGGGACACCTCCCACCAGACCAGGTTGCTCCAAGCCCCATCCAAGCTGCCCTTCAATACTTTCAGGGATGGGGCAGCCACAGCTTCCCTGGGCAACCTGGGCCAGGGTCTCACTACCCTCATAGTGGAGAATTTCATCTTAATGTCTCACCTAAATCTCCCCTCTTCTAGTTTGAAACCATTCCCACTTGTCCTCTCACTCCCTGCCCTTGTCCAAAGCCCCTCACTGGCTTTCCTGGAGCCCCTGCAGGCACTGGAAGTTGCTCTAAGGTCTCCCTGGAGCCTTCTTTTCTCCAGGCTGAACACCCCAACTCTCCAGAGCAGAGCTGCTCCAGCCCTCAGATCATTTCCATGGCTTCCTCTGGACTCCCCCTAACAGCTCCATGTCCTTCTTGTGCTGGGGACCCCAGAAGTGGACCACAGCACTGGAAGGGGCTCTCACCAGAAGGGAGTAGAGGGGGAGAATCCCCTCCCCTGACCTTCCTTCTCCCCTGCAGGGACCGTGACTACGACGACATGGACGAGGAGGATCCCTTCAACCCCCAGGCTCGGCGCATCGCCGCCCACCACCCGGCGCGGGGGCAGCTCCGCAGCTTCTGCAGCTACAGCAGCAGCCTGGGCAGCCAGAGCAGCCTGCACCCCCCGGCCCAGACCATCTCCAACGCCCCCGTCTCTGAGTACATGTGAGACCCAGCCCCCCATTCCCTCGGCCTTGGGTCCCCCCCCTCCACCTCGGGGATGGAGCGTCACCCCGCGTTGGGGACGCAGGGTGATGGTGGGGGTCTCTGTGCTTCCCCCCTCCCAGGAACCAAGCTGTGCTCTTTGGTGGAAACCCCCGTTATGAGAACGTCCCCCTGATCGGCAGAGGGTCTCCTCCCCCCACGGTACGGTGGGCAGCTGAGGCCAAATCCTTCTTGTGACACACCCCGTGGGCCAAGGGGGGGGTTAGCTGGGGGGCTGGGACCCCCTCTGGCTGTCAGAAGGCTGCTCAGCCTGGGCACCCACGAGGGCTGCTGGGGTGGGGATGGGGGAGCTTGGCCCCCTCCTCCTGCCCTTGCAGAGGACGTGCCCCATCTGCGAGCACATCTCCTGCCCGTCTCACTAACCCAGTTCCCAGCTGGGCTGCAGGGAGAGAGGGCACCAGCCACGTGCTTGGAGGAGACCAAAATAGTCCCTTCAGCTGCTCTTCTCTGCTTTAATTCTTATTTATTCTGACTTTCAAAGGGTGCTTGTCCCAGTCACCCGGGCATGTTTACATTTCCCTGCTGTTTGTTCAACCCACCCTGCCTGTTAACGCCTGCTTTTCTTTTTATTTGTTTACTTTTATTTATTTTCTTTTTGCATCATTTATTTTGGAGCTAAGTTGCCCATCAAGAGTAAGTTCAGCTGCTTCCTTCTCCCTCCTCATCCTCCTCCCCTCTGCATCCCTCCATTCCCTTTCCTGTGGGGCTGGTTTTGCTTTTGGGGAGAACTTGGAGGGTGTGGGAGGGATGGGACCACATTTTGTCCCTAACATGGCTGAGTTACAAGAGGATTTGCAGCTCCTGTGCCTTGAGAGTGGGAATGGTCCTCATCTCCATCTCCTTCTTGGTGTGTTTGACCCCCTTCCCTCTCTGGCAGCACTGAATTGGCTTCTGTGCCTCTACCCAAAGCAGTGATGCCCCCCTGGCCCCTCCCTCATGGTGGTGGCACCAGGTCTGGGCATGCTGCTGTGCCAGGGACACTGTCCTCACCTCTTCCTGGGAAGATTTTTGCCATCAGGTGAAAGTGTGGAGCTGCAGGAGGCTGTAATCCGATTGCCCAGACTCGGCAGCTGGGGAGGCTCTTCCTTGATTGGGTGGGGGTGAATGAGGGGGATTAATTTGAGCACTTCTTCCAGCCCTGAATGGTCTAATTTAACCAGGATTCAGATTCCCTAAGGAAGGACTTTGACGGTCCACGATAACAAACTAGGAATAATCTTCCTTAATGCCTGGCCAGGTCCCCCCACCCAACCTCAAAGTGCTGGAGAAATTGAATTTTGTGCTGTTGGTGGAGTGAAGGGGGCTGGAGGGTTTGATCCCCGACATTCCTGCCCTGTTCCTGGTGCAGTGAGGGGCCCAGTGTGAGCTCCCTGGGATGTGTCCCAGCGTGAGCCCCTTTGGGAGGCTCTCCTGGGATCAGACACATCCAGACTTGGAGCCTGGGGCTGAATCAGCTGCCAGGGTGGGCACAGGGAGGTGCAGGACGAAGCTGCCCGATGTCCCAGCAGTGCAGGAAGGGGCAAAGCAGAGTCTGTGCCACTGGAAGTGTCTTGATTTGGGGAGGGTGTCTCTTCTCTTCCAGCCCTCAAAGAAGCTGGAGAGACCCAGCTGTGGTGGATTTGGCCCCCTCACCCATGCCAGATTAATTGGTATTTAATACACCTGGGAAGTGATCTTCCCTCTCCCTCCTCAGGCTTTCTCCGGCAGCAGGGACAGGCTGGGCTGGGGCTGGGGGGGCCGGGGCTGTGCTGACCCCCTCCTCCTCTCCCCGCAGTACTCCCCGAGCATGCGGGCCACCTACCTGTCGGTCACCGATGAGCACATCAGGCACCAGGGCGCCGAGTTCCCCGCCTAAGGCGCCCGCCCAGAGC